TATACTTTCTCTTTGAATTTTTTTTTTAAATCTTAAACATCGCATGGGGCTCATAAAAGCATTTTCACCATATTTAATTCATTCAATATAACAAAAAAAAAATTTTTTATCGATAAGGTTTTTTTTCATCGTCGTTGTTGTCGTCGTTGTCGTGACATTTTGCTGTCGTCGATTCAAAAAATTATTTTTTTTTTTTTTTAAAAAAAAGGGAGAAGGGGGGTAGTAGTGAGGGGAAGGGCGAACACCACGTGAAAAATTTATTTATTTAAAAAAAGAAACCGAAAGGAAAATAAAAAGTTAAACTTTGACACTTACCTACGACCCTACAACAAACGTATTCATACGTGAATACACACTCACGCACTCACTCACGCTTCCGTTTTACGTATACGCACACTCACACGCACACGCACACACACGTACGCACACATACGAAAGCACCTGTTTCAAAACTTATGACTACAATAAATAATATTTGGTGGGAGAAAAAAATTCTTTTATGTTTTTTTCTTTTTTTTCTCATTTTTATACATATAATTTAAATCACGGGAAATGGGGGAGGGGTATGGGGAGAAAAGGGGGAGAACCTTTCTCCATATTGTTTTCAACCAAATTGTTATCGTTTGTGTTGTTGTTGTCGTTGTCGTCGTTGTTGAATTTACCGAATTACAAAAAAAATTCAAGCACTCATCGTGAAAATTTTTTTAATAATACCCAGGGGAAGGGAGGGGAAGTGAGCGTGAAAAGGGTTAGATAAGTACGTGTAATGTAAAAAAAAAAAAAAAATATTGAAAATGTAAACCCTTTTCCACCCCTTCTCTCGCTCTCCTACCCCCACGAAATTTAATACATTGTTAAATTTACATTATTATTATTATTATTTACGGTTTTTTTTTTTTGATATTAATAGCCGGACGATTTCATTTTTTTTCATTCATTTTTTGGTTTCCCCCTCCCCCTCCTTCACCGCCTTTTAATAAAAGAAAAAAAAATTCGTCCGCTTTTAATTTTCTTTTTTTTTTTTTGAGCAGAAGAAAAAAATTATATTTAATAAATTATTTAAATAATGTAAGAAGACATGAAAAAGATATAATTTTATTTATTATTATTACCGTTGCGATATAACAACAGCAACAACAGCAACAAACAACAACTAACTCTTTGTTATGCACAACGCAAGAGTCAAAACGTAAAAATTATTTGAACTCATCGCGTAATAAATTTTTTTATTTTTTTAATTTAAACCCAAAAAAAAAACCGTTGTTCGTTTATCATTATTATTATTATTCATTTTTTCGACGGTGTGGAGGAGAGGGAGGGAGGGGGGAGGCGTAATTATTTTTTTAAAAAAAAGGTGGGAAAAAGGTATCCCCTAAATCGTTCGTTTTAAAATTTTTATTTACCTTTTAGGGGGGGATAAAAAAGCATGAACCGATGAAATAAACGTATATAAATCGATAAGACTCTTTCCTTTGATAATAAATAAAAAAAAGGAAATAAAACAAAGGAAGGAAGAAAAAAAAAGGTTATTGCTTCTGCTGCTGCTGTAGTATTTGACTGGTTTGTGTGTGTGTTTGGGTCTTAGAATAAAATTATTTCGATTATGGTAATTTTTATATCTTATCTTCGGGTTAAAGGTTTCGGGACTTTTAAATGGTTCTTCAACTTTTTTTTTTAGTTTTAACTTTATTTTTTTTTCTTTTGTTCCCTTTTTTCATCCCTTGGCTTTTCCTTTTTTTCCTTTTTTTTTTTTCTCTGAAAAAGAAAGAAAAAGAATTTTTTCTTTCGTTTTTTTTTTTTTTTTGTTTCTTTCTTTCTTTCAGCCTTTTTTTTTCTCTCGAGAAAGTTTGCCACATGTTCACTTGGAAAAAAGTTTTTAGCACAATGTCAGAGTTTTTTTCTTTCTTCTTCTTCTTCTCTTAAAAAAATTTTTTTTTTTTTATATAAATTTTTTTTTTTGTTTTTGTTTTATTTCATTTTCTTTATTTAATTTTGCCATTTCAAATAAATTTCTCTATCTCTCTCTCTATCTTCCCCTCCTCTCTCTCTCTCTTTGATTACAGATAAAAAAATTCTGTTCCTGCTGTTCCTACTTTTCCTACACTCCTACGACTCATACTCTTAACAAAAAAAATTACTCGTAATTGACACGTTTCAGAATTACCAACATTAAAACATAAAAAAATTAATCCCTATTAAAGGACGATGAGAATTTTATATATATTTATATATATTAGTATAAATCCTCTGATTACACGAAATCGGTTTATTGGGCAGGGATGCCAACGTGTAATAAAGAAAATATTAATCATCAGAATAAAACTTTTACAAAAGAAAAAAAAATTAATTATCCTTCCTTTTTCTATTTGTTAATTTTAATCTGATAATTTTAACTTTTCGAACGAAACACAAACTATTTGAAAATAACAAAAAAAAAAATCGTGTCAAAAGAAAAATTCGAAACAAATAAACAAACAAACAAACAAATGATAATAGTAAAAAGTTATATTTTCATGTAATTTACTTTATTTGGCACGAAAAACAAAACGATAATGAATTTTTTTTTGTTAATAATAATAATAATAATAATAATAATAATAATAATAATAATAATAATAATAATAATAATAATAATAATAATAATAAATGATAAAACTTTTTCCATACTTTAAATAAAAAAAATTAATGCCACGTAATATTTTTATTTGTAGCCACGATGATTAAAACATAAAAACAAAAAAAAAAAAGTTTACACGTAAAATTTGATTTTCAAACTCTTTGTTTTTTTATTTTAAACGGGATAAATTATATGCAAAGTTCAAAAACCACGTCGACGTGTAAATAACAGAAAAAAAAAATTTAACGTGACGTTAAAAAATTTTAAAAATTCATGACGTATCTTCCCAAAAAAAAAAACTAAAAATTAATTTCGGACATTACAATTTTTCCTTCTAATAACTAAAATCCCAAAGTTTTTCTCTTTTCTTTCTTTTCCTTTTTTCCTTTTTTTCCATTTTTTTTTTAAGGGTGAAAAAACGCTTAATCACGATGTTATAAGCAAAAAGAAAAATCTTTTTAAAAGGAAATCGTTTCGAAATAAAAAAAAAAAAACAAACCCCCGAGATTGGGGGATGAAATTTTTTTGTTTTATTAAAATAACACGGTGAATTTTTTCCCATTTCAAAAAATCGCATTCCAGTCATTATTATTATTATTATTATTATTATCATTTATTTTTATATTTATTTACGCTCCTGCCACTTTTTTTTGTTCGTTTTAATTCCTTTTTTGTTTTAATTATTTTCATTCTTATACCACGTTTAAAAAAAAAATCTTTCGTTCGAATTTTTTTTTTTTGCATGCGTTTCTTTCCTCTAATATTATTATTATTATTATTATTATTATTATTATGGTCACTCTTAAACACGACAAGGCTCTTATTTGTCGGGGTTGTTAAGTATTTATCCCAGGTCTCTACCCGATTCCTTAGGGACAAATACTCGAATATCGGTGGTGCTATTTATAATATTTTCCGAAGAATGTGGGCCGTCCCACATAGTGCGATTTCCTGGATGGTTTCTTCTTTTAGGTTCTTCATAATCTTCTTTAAATTTCCTTTTATTAATTATTAATATAATTTATAAAATTATTATTATTATTATTATTATTATTATTATTATTATTATTATTAAAATAACGTTACAATTTTTTTGTTGTTGTTCGGGAACGGGGAAAAGGGCAGAAAAAAATTTTTTTTTTTTTTTTATAAACAATAAATTTATTAATGGATACGTTTCGAAAAAAAAAGAAAACCCCAACAAATAATATTTTTACCGCCTCCAGGGCTTTAAAATTGACGTCATTGATGACGTATTTAAAAGATATGACGTGTACGCGTATTAATAATAAAAATTTGATTGCAAAAAATTAACAAAAAAAAAATATTCATATATATATAAAAATAATTAAATAAAATTATTAATAATAAAAATACAAAAAATCTGTACAAAATTACAAGTTTTGTTCTTTTTAAAATGAGAGAGAGAGAGAGAGAGAGAGAGAGAGAGAGAAAGAGAGTGAGTGAGAGAGAGAGAGAGAAGCAGAAGAAATATTTTTTTATAAAAAAAAGGGAACGAAAAGGGAGAAATAAAAGTAAAACGATTTGTACATGCTGAAACCATTTATTCAATTTCTTATTATCAAAAAATTTTTTTTATCTCTCTGTCTCTCTCTCTCTCTCTTTCTCTTTCTTTCTGTTGGATAAGAAGAAGAAAAAAAAAAGGATAAAAAATCATTTTCATCGGTTTTTTTTCTTTTTTCTTTTTTTTTTTTGTTTAAATTTTAATCTTGTAGGAATAAAAAAAAAAAGGAAAATATTAAAAGAATGGTTTTGATTCAATGGAAAAAAGGAAGAAAAAAAAGTGATTTTAATGATTCTTATAAGGTTTTCTCACACTGTTCATTCATTCGTCCGCGTCTTTTCCCTCCCCCTTGCTACCGCCTCCCCGCTCTCTGTTTTTCGTTTCCCATATCTTTCCGCCGCCTTCTCCTCCTCCCCTGCCCTCCTTACCCCCCTTGGAAAAAAAACTCCCTTCTTTTTCTCTGTTGGAAAAAAAAGTCATTTTTTCAACTTGATTAAACTTTTCCAAAAAGAAAATAATCTTTTATTTTTTTTTAAAAACTCTTAAAAATCCAAGATGGATTCTTTTCATTTTACCCGCTTTTTTTTTTATTTCATTTTGTTATTATTATTATTATTATTATTACTATTACTAAACTTTTTTTTTTTTTAATATGGAAAAAATAAAAAAATAAAATAAAATTCGATGAAAAAAAATTTGTTTCCGGAAGAAAAACAAAAATGAAAATCATTCGAAAAATAATTAAATTTTTTTTTTTTTCCGCCGTCAAGGGGAAAGATTTTTGAAAATTTTCCCGCCTTTTTTTCAAACGCGCTTTTTTCGAGAAGGCTGTGCGTTAATTTTTTCATAATTAACACGCTAAGTTTTTTCGTAATTGTTTTCTCCTATTTTTAAAGACGCGGTCGAATGTAAATTGATATCGTTTTGCATGTAAAAACTTTCGAAACCGTTAAAATAATTAACGGAAGTGTTGTAAAAACCGGAAGTGTCGTCACAATGTACCTTTTTCGTTTCGTTGCCGTAGTTAAAATCGTCGTGATTAACAACATCGTCGTTCGCGACGACGACGACGACGTCGTCGACGTCTTTATCGAAATGAATTTTCAATTTTTCATCATTCGTTCTGGAAATTTCGCTCTCGGTCACTTCCTGGTGATGATAATTATTATTTGATTGATAATGATGCTCGAGGTGATGATTTTGATGGTCTTCCTGATAATCGACGACGTTTGGTGACATTTTCGGACTTTGTTTTTCCGAATTTGTCACGCTCGAAGGGCTCGCGGGTTTATCCCCTGGTTTTTGTTCTTTTTTATATTTCATTCTACGATTTTGAAACCATATTTTTATTTGTCTTTCCGTTAAATTCAATTGATTTGCTAATTCTATCCTTCTCGGACGACACAGGTAGCGATTGTAGTGAAATTCTTTTTCTAATTCAACTAATTGTGAGCTCGTGTATGCAGTTCTTGCACGTTTTTGATGTCCTTGCGATGCTGAGGTGACCGTTGCCGGATGCGCATCTACTGAGTGAGTGAAAACATCTGCAAAACAAACAATTTTCTATTATTTATCCCACGTTAAAAACATTCAAGGTACTTCCTGCTAAGGTTTAAGGTTGATAGGTAGGTTGGTAGGTACTTAACCGACGCAAATCGTTCAATTAAAAATCTAAATTTTCGAATCGAAATACCCGAGGGATTTTTTTCCGTGACCACCATAACTAAAAAAAAAACCGGTTTTGAATTCATCAATCTATTTAAATAGTTACCTGGTTCGTACCTGACAGAAAATAATAATTAACACAAATGTTTTTAAATTTTTAATAATAATAATAATAATAATAATAATAAACTCGGAGAAACAAAAAAAATAAAAATGATTCATAGGAGAGTTTTTTTTTTTTTTTAAATTATACCTGAATTTTTATTCGGTACCTTAAAAAAAAAAAATTATTTTGCCATTACGATTATTCCCCCCTCTCTCTCTTTCACTCTCTCTTTCTCTCTCATCGTAATTTTTATTACAATTATTATTAGAACAATGAAAAAAAAAAAAAAAATTTTTTTTCACTACTATCGAAAATTGAATGAAATAAAATTAAATTTTCCGTAAAAGGAAAAAAAAAAGGAAAAAAATGTGTATATTTTCTCACGGTGAAAAATTCAATGAAGGATCATTTTATCCTCCCCCCTTAAAAAAAAAAAAAAATCTTCTGCTTTTTCTTTTCATAATCTTTTCTTTTTTTTTTTGTATTCTTTTGTCGTACTTATAAGATTACATAATCGGAAAAATAAGTAAGGAAAACTAAAGATGTTTTTTTTTCATTTTTTTTTTTAATTAAAAAATTTATTCAGAAAAGAAAAAAATGAATGGTTGGTACGCGTGGTAATCGAGAAAAAAAAATGGATGGACGTTGAAACGTTTACAAGTGGGAGGAAAAAAAAAATTTTTATTTTTTCGATTGTGGTTGATCATACATAAACACATCACGCATAAGAATAAGTTACCTCGTGATTTTTAATTTTTTTTACGTGTGTGTGCGCGCGCGCGATCTAGCGGAGGGAAAACTAATAAAAGAAAGAAAGAGATAGAATGAGAGAATTAAGGGGGAGAGGCGAGAAAGAGAGAGAGAGAGAAGGTGAAACGTTAAAAATTTCTCTTTTTCGTACATGTACATGTTTTTGTTTTTTTTTAGGGGGGGAATTTATTTTAATTTTATTAAACATAAAAAAATTTTAAAATCTTTTTCCACCTCCTCCCCCTCCCCCTACCCACTTTACTTCTTCCCGCCATTTTTATTTTTTTTTTTTGAAAAAAAACGCGTGGCCCGAAATCTTTTTTTTTCTCCATATGATAAACATTACAGGTGATTTCATTCATTTCATTTTTTTTTTTTTATCCAGAGAAAAGTCATTTTAGTACTATTATTATTATTATTAAATTTGATATACCTTAAATTCAACCTTAATTTTTAATTTTTAGGACGTTATTTATCATTTTGGAGAGTCTATTTTTATTATTCTTTCGTTGGCTACCTTAGAAATTTTTTAATTTTTTTTTTTTTTGGTAATAAATTGATGTACCTGTACTACTTGAAGGTGTCACTGATGCATCTTCATTTCCTCCTCCCATTTTTGTAATTTCTCTAGGATCGTTGTAAATTTCACACCTGGTAGGCTGTATATCATTTTGCCATACAGGTTGAGATTGAACCGGATAATAACCTCCGCACTCCTGTTGATATATGTCTCCGGGGTGCCTGACGTGATGAGAATACCCGTGTTGCATATAATTCGGATACACGGATTGACCTCCCGGAAGTATGCCAAATCCGCAATAACCAGATGAAGAATCTATTCTACCTAATTCTACTAATTTATATTCGTTGTCGCATTCGTAACCGTTTATCATACCGCTGTTGGTTATTATGTTGCTGTTGTTAGTGACGATGGTGTTACCGCTGACGGTTTTGTCTACGACACCTGTTGGAAAAATACATTCCGACGCGTAATTTTTATCCCCAAGTATTTCATAATTCGAATTGTCTTCTTCTCCATCTCCATCCCCATCTTCTTCCTCCTCCCCTTCTTCTTGTATTAACATATCGTTTAATATAAATTTATCGTCGTATTCTCCTACCACGTCTTGACCATCCTCCGTATAATTATTATTATCTTTGTAATCGTTTTGTAATTTGTTTGTATAATCCGAATAAATTTCATCTTCTTCCGACATTTTATAATTTTTACACGAGTGATGGATATACAACAAACAATATTTATTATTATTATTTTTAATTAAGTCTTAACAAATTACGTAATCACACAAACAACGACAAACGATCGATGAAAAAAATTTTTTTTTTATTTTTAAATTTCGTTTTTGTTCAGTCGACAACTCGATTTCGATATTTTTCTGCACAAACATTAACTAACCACTCACTGTAAAAATTTTTTTATCACTATTTTATCAAAACATTCCGTAACCTTTTTGTTGTTGTTGTTGTTGTTGTCGTCGTCGGTTGTTTCGTCGTTGCCGTCGTCGTCGTCGTTGCCGTGATTCGGACGACACACAACACAACACGTCGCACGAGTTTTAAGAAAAATTCATTTTTTTCTTATCCCGTGCCCATGAGTACGTATTTGCGTTTGTGTTTGTGTTTGTGCGTCGTTAGTCACACAAAAAACCCCCCTTAGATAAAAGAAAAAAAATTTTTTTTTTTTTTCGTTTTCCTTAAAAAATACTTTTAACATTAGTAGAAACTGTTAAGAGAATGATGGCGCGACAACAATGAGAAAACAATAACAAACGAAATGGTAAGTTATTACTGACCTTGAAATCGTTGTTGTTGTTTTTGTTTTTAATAATTTTACCGGGGGTGTTGTACGCGCGTATCTCCCTACCTGGTTTCATAGGTTTTTACACAAAAATTTTCTACCTCACGATAATAATAATAACTACGACCGACCAAAGGACGATAATATTATTCGTACGTAATTTTTAAACGTTTTCTTTCTTTTTTTTTTTTTTTGGAAAACAGGGTTGTTGTCGTTTGTGTTTTTGTTTTCCACACGCTTCCCGAAAACTTTTCCCGGAACAACCGGAAAAATAATAATAAAAATAATAATACAATTACCTCTTTCGTTTAAGAAATTTAATTTCTCATTCGCATCATCGAAATATTTATTTTATTATTTTATTTTTTTTTTAAATGTAGTCTGCTATCATCATCCGTAGGAAAATGCGTGCGAGTGTGCGTGTGCGTGTTCTTTTAGTCGAAAATAGAAGCCGTTTCGAATTAAAATAAGAAGGAAACATTTAGTTAATAAACCGTGAATAGACCGTAACGACAGATTCATTATTAAAAATCATTGCATAAAACATTTAAAAAACAAAAGATTATTATTATCATCATCATCATCATCATTATTATACATATTTTTTTTTTTTTTCACGATTATCATTATTATTATTAATAAAAACAATAAACAAATGCTGCCATAGAAATGTTGATGTTCTAAATTACCGAGTTAACTTGTTTTACAAAACCTGTCGACCGAAAATTTTTTTTTTTAAAGAAAGATTTTATAATTAATAAAAAAAAAAAAAATTTCTTTGTCTGACTATATAAAATTATTATTATTATTATCATTATTATTATTACTATTATTACATTGTTGCATTGTTATCCTTTTTTTTTTTAATAAAATTTAAATTTTACCGTAATTAATATTCCGGAGAGAATAAATAAAAAAAAAAAAACACTCCGACATTAAATTTATTATTATTATTATTATTATTAATAATTTTTTTTGGTTTTAACCTTTCGTGTTTCCGACTTATTATCATCATTATTATTATTACGATAATAAAATCGATGATAAGTTATCGGCGGTACGAAAATTTTTTTTTTTATATTTTCCGCCGTCGTCGTCATCCTCGTCGTCGTCGCGAGTTTTCGCGAAGTTTTTTTTTTTTTTTTTTTAAACAGACTCCACGAGTTCAATTTCCGGTTTGAATTTTATCAATTTAACAACGTTCGTTATTTGATGAGCGAAAAGTTTTTTTTTTTTTTTTTATTGGCGTAATTAAATCGTCGTCAGAAAGGCAAAAAAAAAAAAAATTATAACGCTTCAAAATGTTGTCGTCTTCCTTGTTTATTATTATTATTATCATCGTAAGACACGGGAAGGAAAGGGTGAAGAAAGAGGGGTAGTGAAAAAAGGTAAAGGGAATAAAAGGTTGTTGTTGTTCGGTTGTTTGTTTAGTTAAAAAAAATTATTTTCTAATACATACAATTTGTGCACTGATGTTAAATTTAAATAATAATAATTTTTTTTTTAAAATGATTAAGTTCTCGTTTGTTTATCTTACGTAAAGGGAAAACATTTTATAAGTTTAAATAGGCATTGCGTCGAGTGAAAAGTGGTTGTCGTTTGAAAACGGGAAATAAGAGTAAAAGAAAAAGTTTATTAAAAAAAAAAAAATTTTTAGTTTTTCAAATGTTTTTGGGTTTTTATCCCGAAATAGCTTCGAGGTAGACACTTTTGTTTCTTGTATTGAAAAACAAGAGAATTCAACGTTTTACCCCCCCAACAACCATGTCCATTAAAATATTTTAGTCAAGAAACAAAAAAAAAAAAAAAAAATTAAAAAGGAAAACAATCAAAAAGTCGTCTGTTGATTATCTTTAAATAAAATACGATTTTGTTGTTTTTTTTCTTAAGGGTTATTTAAAATTTTTGTTTTTTTTTTTTTTTTATTACAATTATTTTCGACGGTAGAAATATTTTAAAAAAGAAAAAGGAAAGAAAATGTTCACGGGGGGTGGGGGTGAGGGTTCAAGAAAAAAAAAAAGAGAAAAGAAAGAAAGAAAAAAAAAACCCGTAATTCAAAAACTTGTTTGCACAAAAAAAAGAAAAATTGCCTTTGAATTATAAGAAGGACGAGTTTTGTATATGAAAAAAAAAGTTAAAAAAAAACATTTTATAATAAATAAATAAAAATATATATATAATGTTGAAACATATGCTTTTATCTAAATTAAAAATAGGGGCACACGGATTTCATTTCCGGGACGCGGGTCGGGACCCGCTACGATTGTTATCCTACAGGATGACGGTGAAGCTTTCCCGCGTTCCGCCAAACAACCACCACCACCAATTCGTTCCTTTCACACTTTTTCTTCTTCTTTTTCTTCTTCTTTATTTTTTATTTTATAAACGGAAAATTTTTTTATATTTTTTTTACCGAGTTTTTCGAGTTGTTTTTTAACCGTTTGTCGGATGCCCGGTTGTTCCTTCGACGATTAAAATTTCCAAATTTCCCAATTTTCGATGTGATTTCCTTTTATTTCATTCGAGAGAGAGAGAGAGAGAAAATAAAACGATGTGTAACAAAAAAAAAAATTGAAAAAATCTGACAAAAAGGAAAATGAAAGAAAAAAAAAAGGAAAAAAGGAAAGAAAAAAAAAAGAAGAACAAAAAATAGGAATTAAGTTGAAAAGTTTTGTCATTAAATTGGATGACTTGTCAGTGCTGAATACGTAGTCATCTGCCGCCGCATCACCCCTTACGTAAGGGATGATCCAGTAAAAGGAAAGAAAAGAGAGGGATGAAAGAAAGAAAAAAAAAAAAAATGAAAACTGAAAGAAACCTCATCATCATCATTATCATTATTATTATTGTTTTGCGCCCTCTTTCAAATTCATTTTTTTTAATTGTTTTGTTACTTTTCTCGATCGCCATTATCGACCATCGATATATCGAACGATTTCTTTTTTTTTTTTTTTAAAAAAACTAAAAAAATTTTCCGGTTTTATTTTTTGCCGCGTGGAAAAAAATCATCATAACGGAAGTTATGCATTTAATATTTATTGTTTGCGGGCTTCAAAGGTTAACCTCGTTTACAAATATTTTCCCTTTAGGGTGGGGGCAAGGGGCGCGGGGGGGGGTGAGGAGAAGGCCTTAGATAAAATCATAAATCCCTTTTAACAAATAAAAAAAAAAATTTTTTTTTTTTTTTTTTCCTGTTGAAAATTGAAATTTCCTTCGAGAATTTTATTATTATTATTATTATTATTATTATTCGTGTACGTTCACGGCCGTTTTACTTTAATTTACCAACTTCCGGCGACGAAAAAAAAAATGTTGACGTAATAAAGTCCTTGTAATAATAATAATAGCAACAACCTAAAACAGGATTTTCAATTTTATATACACGAAATTACCTTTTTTTTTTTTTTGTAAAAAGGAAATGACGTCATTACATTTTAATTATATTTCTTTTAAATTTTATTATTATTATTATTATTATTATGAGAGATCGGAAAAAAATTTTTTTTTCTTTTTTTTTTTTTCGTCTTTTCCACGATTTTTTTCTTTTTCTTCCCACGATTCTTTTCGCCCTTTCCTCCTCCCCCCGCACTCACCTCACGCTCCCACTCCTGCAAAAAAAAGGAAAAAATGGAAAAAATTTTCCTTTGAATTTATTCAGTCTCATATTGTTTTACAACTAATAAAAGAAGAAGAAAAAGAAAAAAAAATTTTTTTTTTTTTTTTTTTTAAAAAAAAGAAGAAAAAAAAAAAAGTTGAAAGAAATGTGTCTTTGAATAAATGGGGTGAATTTCTCCCCTGAATAAGGGATCGACTCAGTTTGAGTGATGGCTGGTTGGTCGACCTCCTAACCGACGCCATCCATCATTCAATATGGCGGCTCCTGTCACTACTAAATGCGGGGAAAAGAGTAGAGAAAGAAAAAAAAAATTTCCGTGACGTCACTTATATATATATATATATATATATATATATATATATATTATTAAACTTGCGATGATTTTTTTTTTATACGTACAAACGAGACAGCCATGTTGAAAATTAAACGTTTTTTTTTTCTTTTTTATTTATAAATTCGAATATAAATAAATTTAAGCAAAAAAAGTAAGCAACGACGCCATTTTTTTTTTTTACTCGAGTTAAATAAAAAACAAAAATTAATGTTTTAAATTTTTTTTTTTTTTTGCTTTATTAATAAAACGTCGCGTTTGCGTTTTGTACATATATTACAAAGAAACAAACGAACAAACAAACAAAAAAAAGGGAAAACAAATTATTTTTGCTATGCACAAGTTTTTTTTTTATACAACCGCAGCAAGCGACGACGCCTTGCTAGAAATTTCTCTTAAATTATTTATTGCATGATAAAAAATAATTTTTTCTCTTAACGCAATTATTACC